TCTTAATATCTTCTGCTTCTGTTAGGTCCATACCATTTGTGTCCTTTACTGTGCCCATCTTTGCCTGAAATGTTCCCTTGGTATCTCTAATTTTCTTGAAGAGATCTCTAGTCTTTCCCATTCTCTCTATTTCTTTGTATTGATCACTGAGGAAGGCTTTCTTATCTTTCCTGGCTATTCTTTGGAACTCTGCATTCAAATGGGAATATCTTTCCTTTTCTCCTTCTCCAGGCCAGAATACTGGAGTGGGTAGCCCTTCCCTTCTCCAGGGGATCTTCCCAACCCGGGGTTTGAACACAGGTCCCCACATTGCAGGCCAATTCTTTACCAGCTGAGCCACAAGGGAAGCCCGCAGTGTTGTTTAAGTCTTGCCTAGCTGTGGCACATAAGCAAAGACTCCGAGGCATGTGAGCTTGTTCAATCTGGAACAGGGATTGAATTGGTGACCCTTGCACTGCAAGGTATATTCTTAACCACTGGACTACCAGGAAAACCTTCCTTGTTTATCTCATGTTTAGTTGTTGTACGGGGCTTCTCTTGTGGCTCAGACAGTAAAGATTCTGCCTGCAAAGGGGGAGACCTGGGTTCGATCACTGGGTAGGGAAAATTCCCTGGGGAAGCAAGTGGCAACCCACTACAGTATTCTTGCCTGGAGAATCTCACGGACAGAGGAGCCTGGCAGGCTACAGTTCATGGACTTGAAAAAAGTTGGGCAGGACTGAGCGACTAACACTTTCCTTCCCACTTTCTTTGAAAGTAGGGTATTGAAATAGCCGGAGATTATTGTCGAATTGTCTGTTATTCCCTTCAGTCTGTCAGGGTTTGCTTCATGTATTTTGGTACTTTGATGCTAGGAATAAATGTTTAAAACTGGTATATCTTCCTGATGGTTAGATCCTTTTATGGTTACAAAGTCTCTCCCTTTATAACTAGCAACATTTTAATTTTACCATCTATTTTGTCTGAATTTAGAATAACCTCTCTAACTTTTTATGGTTGCTGTCTGCCTATATATCCTTTACTTTCAACCTACTTGTATCTTTTGATCTAAAATGTTTCCTAAAGACAACATATAGTTGGACCTTTTTTAAAAAAATGCAATTGGACAATATTTACCTTTTGATTGGATTGCTTAATTCACCCACGATCATTGTTTTTATTGACATAATTGGGTTTATCTCTGCCATTCTATTTTTGTTTTCTAATGCCTCTCATCTTTTAAGTCTGTTCCTCCATTATTGCTTGTCTTTTACATTAAGTGGCTATTTTCAAATGTAACAGTATAATTGTTTAATTTTTCAGTATATTTTTATACTTGTTTTCTTAATGGTTGTTCTAGGGCTTGTCACATGCATCTTAACTTATCAGAGTCTGTTTAGACTTATTTCAGTGAGATATAGGAAGATTATATTTATAGCTCTATTCCCTCTTCCTCCTTTTTTCTATTATTTTTATGCATATTTCAAATTGTATGGTACAAACTCCAAAATATACTATTATAATTACATTGCATAATTTTACGTCTATTAAAGAAGATGAGAAAAAAGGAGAGGAAGTATAAATTTACAGTGTGTTATATTTATCTTATTTACCACGTCTGATTCTCTGCACTTATTCCTGTAGATTTAATTTACCAT